GGAAACATATTGAGCTCTTGCAGAGTCACAATCGCATCTTGGTCTTTGTCATCCTAGGATATTGTAATTGGAAAGACGGCAGAAAGATTCGCTTCTGGATAGGTAGACAATATATCACATCACATTTCAAACAATAGAAAGAATTTGTGGAAAATTGACGTAAAGGTTTCATTGCACATGTTTGCTTACTACAATGTTGAAGCCCAGTGACACCCGGGTTAAATCATTGCGACAGACACTTCAATGCTGTACGACGCCAGGCGGTCGAAGATGATACAGGACGACAAGAGGGACTGAAGTGCGGAGTTATAGTTGACATTCGCCGATTGGAGCACGCATGGACCTCGGACTAGCGCGCTAATCCCTGCACGTATCCCGGGAGAACTTCCAGAACTTTTTGAGAGATGCGATTGTGAGTTACAACGGGACATGCGACATGGGGAAAAGAACGGCTTTCGAGGCCAACACCAAGAGCGCGCATTCTGACCGCGACTCCAAGCGCCAAAGAGTCGATCACACGGCAGAGCGCAACTCACCACGACCGAATGGCAGCGCTGAAGAAATCACGTCGGCGCGCGACTTACAAAATGCTCTGTTCTTCGACCAAAGCTCTTCAGGCGACTTTCGAAGTGGTAGGCACAACCAGACTTTGTAATGACCTGGATCTGACACAAAAAAGGCCTGAGTTTATTCAAGCGTTTCCTCGACTCAATCCTCTACCCAACCGATGAGCACGACCTGCCCCGCAAGCGAGCCATACTTCGCGAGTACCTGGACACACAGAAAGGAAGAGGACGGGATGAACAGGACAAGTCGTTTCTGCAGAACCTCACCCAGGGGTGGGATCATGCTGTGGAAACCAACTACAGTGCGATTGTCTCGCAGGTAACAGCTGTGCTCGCGCTCCTGTTCAAGGTCTTTGCCAGCCACGGTGATTTCCTCGAGTACGGCACACTTCTTGCCAAGACACTCCTGCAGCCATCCATCGCTCGCCGTTTTGTCCGTAGTACATCGGCAGCACCCAAAGAGGACAATGTCATTGCGCCGGCATTGCGATTGCTTACCGAGCTTGTACGCTTCAACGAGGGTGCGCATGCAAGAGCCGTCTACGCGAAGAGGGACTTTACACTTGAGCCCAAAATACTTGGAAGGAACATCAATCTTGGAAGAGAGCAGTCGGCGGCGGACCATGTCAAGAAACCAAGCATTCGCACGACAGCCATCAGGTATCTACTAATGCACCTGAGGTATCAGGACGAGCGGGCAAAGAGCGAAATCTTATCAAACACCAATGTTGTCCGTGCTGTATTCGATCATATCCGCGCAGACCCACCTTTCCTCATCTACGAGATACTCGATGTGTTCAAAAGCCATGTTTTCCAGGACAAGGCTATCGCAAGACACACAAAGAGCAGGATCCTGAACGGAAAGGCTCTCTCTCGCATAGCTAGTCTGTACAGTTACGAGGTGGAGGAAGGCTCCCTCTCGGAAGGACAGAAGGCACCTGATCAGCTCGCGCATGACTTCCTTCGCCTGGTCTGTACAGATCCTGCCTATGGTGTTATGCTGCCTACACAAGGCTTCTATCCGTCGACTTTTGATGACGACGAGGGCGAACAGGACGATGCCGCTGATTACGGCAATGACCTGGGCCTCGAGTCAGTTGACAACTATAGCAAGACTCCCAAAGTGCGGAACGTCATTCTCTCTGAGTTTATACAGAGTCAAAGACCATACGCAAATACCCTTCACCAAGAGCTTGTTGTTGACATCTTCCGAGCCTGTCCCGAGCTGGTTGCAGATTACTTTATCAAGCGACGCGACTTTAGTTACGACCCCAAGCTCACCTCGACATGGATAGGATACTCTGCTTTCCTTTATCAAGCTATCCAGCTCCCCGTGCCCAAGTACTTCGGTGCGAAGAGAAGCTTCCGCGACCACCCACCTCCAGTACCCGTGCTGATGAACAGCATCTTGCCACAACCACTGAATCAGCAAGTTCTTACCAAATGTCTCAACCACAACTCCGACCTTATTCAGCTATTCGCTATCCGTGTCCTGATAGTAGCGCTTCAGAAGCTACAAGCTGTTCTTAGAGAGCTCAATGATGCCGGTGCTACCAGATCTTCTAAGCAATGGAACCAAGCAGCTAAGCGTCTGATCTCAGAAGTCAGTCGGCGTTGCCCACCCATTCGCACTGTATTCTTGGCGCTCAAGAAGCCGGGTCTGAAAGACATGAAGCGAGAGTCAATTACCAGATTACTGCGGCTTTACTACGAAGCCACACCCCAAGTTGCGCTACAAGAGAAGTTCGACGTGTCGGTACCGCTATGCAATGCGCTAGTGGAGGCCGACAAGCCTACAGCATCACCTGAAGATAAAGTCTTCCGTATTATGGAACTTGAGCACTGGATACAGATGGCAAAGCTTTCGCCTGCTATGCGATGGTGGCAAAAGCAGAGTAAGTTTTCTTTTGAGCTACAATAGTTCCATTACTAACCTAAGCAGAATCACTCCAGTACTCACCGTTTGTGACGCTTCTTAAGCTGCTGGTAACGTCGAAAGAGAGTGAACTGTATACAGGTATTAGATCCTTATTAAGCGACATCTTGCACGACCAGGAAATGCTGCAGACGAAAACTTCACCCGATGCGCTTGATGCTCTTATCGCAAGCTTGGGGTCGACCTCTGGATCGGCCACACCATCCTGCGACGTCCTGGGGTTCCTAGATGACTGCTGCGCGCGGTTCACCAAAGTACCTATCAAATACTTCGATGACCTGGATGCCATGCGTAAACGTACTGGGCAATCTGCAAGCAGCCTTGGCCCCTTCAGCACACTGTTGATGACTTTGGTGGAACAGTGGCCATTCAAGGGTGGGGAGACGTCAGTAGGCACTACGGCGGACACCATCGCGCAATGGTTGTCGAGACTTCTATATCTCCTCAAGTTGATTGGCGAAGATGAGACGCAACTAGAGCATGTACGCAATGCTTTAGTAGAGTCTGCGAGTGTGGCATACAAGGAAGTCTTGAAGGATGCGTTTCTGTGGAAAATGGGCAAAGAAAGAGCTAAGGAGGCCTTGAAGCTGGCAACTGGAGCAGATTTCAGTGGCTCGGAAAGATCCTCGACATCGCCGGTCCCCAGGCCCACGGAAGAGACTGAGCAGCAAGGCAAGTCTAGATCTGCTATCGACCTGGAGGCGCCGCCTGTGGAAGACGAAAAGCATACCGGACTTACACGATGGAGGAAGAAAGAGCTTGGCGAAGCTCTTGATGATGGAGATATCGGGGAACTACTATTGTGCCTCTGCTCTGAGCACACGGAAATTCGCATACAAGCCATCAACAACATTCGACAGCTCACGGCGACAATACAATCCAGCAGTCGTCATGTACCCGGAAAGGACGAGGCCGCTGCAGGACAAGGAAGCAATATGGACTCTGAACTCCAGCAACTCTATCTCCTCCTCGGCGAGCTTCTGGAATCGGTGGACTTAACTGGTGCCGAAGCTTTCCCGTACGTTGGTGGCGTGCTGGCCGCTCGTTGTGCGGGTATTGTGGGGGATCCCACGCACTCTCTCTTCAGCACAGTGAACAAATTCCTCACCACCGCCCCAGCCTGGGATGTTAGCTCTCTACTACGCTTCTTTTGGCATCGCATCGTTGCCAGCCAACCTGACGACGATACAACGTATCACAAGGAAGTGGACTGGTACTTTGACTACCTCATGGACAGTCTGCGGACGCCTGCAGATATGGAGTTGTTCCGAAGGAGCAACATATTCGAGCAGTTGTTGACTCATTACGGATCACGATCGTGTCCAGCTTCGGCGAAGGACAAGATTGTGAGGCTGCTGCTGCGAGCAACACATGTAGGAGGCAGTACAACGCTCATCACAAGGTGTGGGCTTATCCCATGGATCCAGATGATGCTCGATGGCTACGATCCGCGACACCGTGCACTGAAGACACTAGCAGGACGTGTCTATGAAACATGCGATCGAGAGAAGGTAGCTGCGTGGAGCAGTGACAGCCTCGGACAGACGATGGCCTCCCTTGCGAAGGTCTGATGTTTCTTAGTCTTAGTACGCATCTTTGAGCCATATGAGGCGTTTGGGAAACCGATTCGAGAGCATTGCAGCGTGTTTCCTCCGTTTAAACACAGGGCGTTGTTTGCGACTTCCTAATTTGGGGGTCATGCATAGTTCATCTGTGGCGCGAGTGCCTAGCAAAAACTCCAGGCAGTCATTGTCACGCGACGTGGTCTGATTTTCGTATCCGTGCCGTAATCTGATAATGATGAACGTGAGGCCATGTCTACCTGGTGTAGTGCACGCTGTGGGCACATGTTGCGGACCCCAATATGACGCACCTACTTGTTCCCGCAGCATTGCTTGGCGCGTGTCTCCAGGGCTGGCTCTCAAAGAGACCCGCACCACTCGCGACCTGGGACACAAAACCACAACAAACACCTGCGCTATTACTCACACGCCCGCTGCTTAAACCAAAGTGCCCCATAACTACCCGAGACTTTTCCATTCCGAAATTACTGCTCTGCCGTAAAGACGTGAGCTCGCAATTGTTTCTTCTCCGCTTTCCGTCGCCGCTACAGCAGCAGGGGTGCGCTACTCCCCTACCACGTTGCATCCCACCTCGAGCTCCTTCACCTCGCCCAGCAACTTGCGATACGCACGCGCCTCGAACTCGACCCATACTGCAATCGCTCAACATCATCCTATCGCAAACGTCCATTTGTATCGCATTCATCGTCGACGTCCCCATTCTCAGTCTCTAAAAGGGTTGCAGAGCGGGCATTGTTCAATTGCAAGCGAGACAGGCGATTCACCACCCGGCTGTCTCGAGACAGTCTCTTCACCCATCATCACTCACTAAACACCTTACCACCTACACAACGGCTCGTCTCTCGACGCTGAACACGACAAGCTTAACCTACCCTATACCTGCCTGCACATTCGCGCTGCGCTGAGCTCGCGAGAATGCGGGGGCCTACCTATTCGGAGGCTGACCTGTTGGCTCTGAAGGAGTCTCCACTAGTCAAGAAGCCTGATGGACTGCCTTCAATCTCACAATGGATGGACGTGCCTGCCGACCAAAACACCAACAATGGCCACGCCAACAATAACAACGGCACTATGCGTCGCACTCGGGGCGCTCGAGACGGAGAAGGGGCCACGCCAAATGAGCAGCGGCCGCTGATCAACCCCATGGGCCAGTTCGGTCGGCGTCAGAGCATGCGTAAGTCTTCTGATGTTCAGGGCATCAAGGCCGCTATTGACGCGCTTTTTGTAGAACCTGGCGAAGAGACGGTGCTTGGCCCGCCAAAGTTAGCCTTTTTGTCAGCACGCACGCCGGCCAAGGGAACGGGCGACGCAAAGGAACGCACAGGTTTCACTTCTACAGACGGAGACAATGTTGGCGACCGCTTCCCAAAGAACGATCGGTGGACGCGGGACCGCGAAACCGACCGCAACCGAGACAAGGGCTACACCAACGGCCGTCGCGTTCCCCGAGAGGACGGTGAGGGCTGGACCAACATCAAGGGACGCAAAAGTCTGGGTCAGGAGGACTTTGAGCGTTTTCACCGCAACGGCGACCGCAATCGCGACAAGCATGAGGGTGACCCTGAGATGGACGTAGCCCCACGCCGTGGCAATCGCGAGCGCAACGAACCGCGCTGGGGTCGCCGTGATGACAAGGATGAGGGTATCAAGACTGGTGTACAGGGCGGCTGGCGTGAACGCGACCGAGACCGAGAACGGGACAATGGCCGTGAGTGGAACAGAGGTGGCAATCGTGCAGGCGGAGAAGAAGACCCAGAATGGATGGACACTAAGATCGAGAAAAAGGAGTTCAAGCCTCGTACACAAGAAGATTTCCAGCGCTGGAAGGAGCAGATGAGGGCCAAGGACACGCCAGCTGGAGAAAAGGACGAATCGAGAGAGGTACCAGCCGAGACATCTACGGCCATTTCCATCACCGCTCCGCCTATGCTAACCGCCCCTCTGCACACGCCTTCTGGAGCGGAGCCTACACAGGGCATTCTCTTCGGCAACTGGGGTAGAGACAAGTCAGCGGATATCCCACCAGTAGAGACCATCTCGGCGAAACCCAAGCCTGACAAGAAATCGAGGTTCATGACCATGTTTGCAAAACCAGAAGAACAAGCAGCATCTGGCCAAGCTCCAGCTCCAGCACCTGCGTCCCCAGCACCAGCCATGGAGGCGAACGCTGACAAGGAAGGTTTCCAGCGCATTCTCCAGATGCTTGGTCAAGTCAGTACGGGCCCGTCTCCAGGACCTCAACCTCCAACAACGATGCCCACACCGCCGAATGGTATGAGGCATGGTGGAGGTATCTCGTTAGACTTCCACCAGCAATCGCCGCCGCCGGATCCGCAACATGGTAGACCACCACCAAGGACACTCGAACAGCAGAGCATATTGGAGAACATCCTGGCTCCACGCGCTGGCCCACCCGAATCTCGGCCTCCACAGCAATCGCGCTTCAGCAGCATGTCGCCTGAGAATGCAATGTCTGATCAATTCAGACCTCCACGCCCCGATTCTAGTCACCCAGATGATCACTTTCCCCATCAGCCTCCGCCGCAACGCAATGGTCCTCAAGACGCAAACCTTGCGGCTCTGTTGAACAGTCGTGCACGCGAGGAATCACAGCGTGATCAAGCGACCAAGCAGCGTGAGCGTGACTTCCTGCTGAATCTGATGCAACAACCTTCTCGTGGTACACCACCTCAAGTGCAGGGCCATAATTTGCCTCGCCCGACCCAGGAAGGTCATAACATGCCCTTCTTCGATCAGCAAAGACAGCAGCCTCAGATTCCGGCTCAGCACCAACCCAAAGGCAGAGGTGTTCTGCCTCCCGGCTTCATGGAAGACCCTCGCATGTTTTCGGAGAATGAGATGATGCGTCGTGATGCAGCCGACCGCCAGCTGGAGCTTCAACATATGCAACGATTACAACAACAGCAACAGGAGGCCATGCGAGGAAAGAATCAACGCATGCCAATGGGATACCCCACCCCCGAGGATCCACTTATGGGCCTTCAGCGCCGTAACACCGGAGGCGACCCTCGCATGCCGACCAATATGGGTATTCCTTCGCAGCCTGTACCGGACATGCCGTACATGGGCGGACGCGGTCAACCAGGAATGCCGCCAACACCCCAAGAACGACCAAACATCGCTCCTCCCCCCGGTTTTGGTGGTCCAATGCGTCAACCACCTGGCCTTAATGGTCCCAATGGTCAACAAATGGGCCCTGGGCCGAGTTTCTCAGCAGGCAACACACCACTTGGCCACCTCCCTGGCTTCCCGCCTGCCGGCAATATCCGCGGATTGGGCTTTCCAGGCGGACCCGGAGGACCTGGTGGTAATGGCATGCAGGGTCCGCCAGGCTACTTCCCACCTCCTGGGTATGGTGGACCTCCAATGCCTGGCATGCGAGGAGGTGAAGACCCACGTATGATGTTTGATGGCCAATTCAGTGGGCCTCCCCGCCAGCAGCCCGGTCGTCCTGGACCACCCAACATGTACTAGCATGTTACAGACTCGACTACAAAGCTAAAATTACAGGCTTTGATGTATTCGAGGTTCACAAACCATCAACTTCACATTGATTTCAGCAGAGTGTTATAATGTCGGTTCTTGGCTTCAAGCGCAGCGTCGGCGTCGGGGATGCTGTATATCTGGGTTAGGGCTTTCCCCTTTTTACAGCGATATCCCTTCATGAGAGGATAGGCTTTACATACGTACGGTATCTTGGTCACTCTAATGTACAGTGAGGCTATGGGGCACGAGACGTTGTGTTGAAAGCAACAACAGCAATGTCGTTCGCTACTGCAGCGGGGGGCAAAGAAAGAAAGAAATAAATAAGAAGAAAAGGCCAGCTTGTAGATGATAGAATATATCTGAAGTTGGTGCAATGTGTTGTTCTTGATAATTGTGATGCTTGTTGGTGTTGAAGACGTGGTGCGTGTCAAAGCAATGGGAGGTCAGCAATGCTGACAAGACTGAGAATATTTGTCGGCCACAAGAGTCACCGAGTCTGGTCTTCACGTGTGGTACGTACAGCTAGTTAAGCTTGAGAGAAAGTTGAACTATATTGGTCAATTGTAACAATGATTAAAAACGCCAAAAAAAAAGCCCCCAAACACTTGCTCCTCAGCATATAGACTCACTGCATAGCATCCAAGCATGCTTCGTCACCATACCACTCCTCTCCTCAGCTAACCTATAGTACAAGCATTCCCAGCAAACTTCCTGCCGCCAGAACAGCGTATGCACCCATGACCAAATCACCATGGGCAAAGAAGCCAGGAGTATTAACGCTAGGAGCAGCAGCCTCGGACTTGCTGGAGCTTGCTGCTCCACCACTGCCACTGCCGCCGCTCACAGCTGCTGTGCCCTTGCCTGTGGCAGTGGGTACAGTGCCGTCACCGTTCTTGCCCGCAGCACTCAGCAACGAGGCACAACCACTCGCAGTCGATGCGCTCTGAGTACTTGCCCTACCCGAGAAACTGCAGGCATCTGCGCGCTTCTTCTGACCAATGTAGTACTGGTTTGCAACGAAAGCGAGCTGGTCCTTGGGATCACAGCCAGAGTAGGCACCATAGTCGCCAGTTGTAGAGTTGTGCGCAATTCCGCTGCAATAGTCCTCGTTCTCACCGCAGATGTAGTTGAAGTCGTCGGCGTAAGCGTCGTCGTCGTCGGACGTGTAGACGCACTGTAGACTGTCTACCATACACGCGCATAGCTGAGGGTTTACGTTGGGAGGTAACGGAGAAGCTTGCGCGAGCCAAGTTCCACCCACTGAAGGGCAGGCAGGTGCTGAATTGGTAGGTGTGTACTCGGAGCGCTGCGTGGTGGTCGGAGTAACGGAAGCAAGCTGGCTTTGTAGAGACGTGAAGTCGGGGTATGGAGACACACTTGCGCCGTTATCAGCCAATGAAACGAGTCCGTAGTCATTTGCGCCCATGAACCACTCGTAGACGATACCACCAGAGAAGACGTCGGTCATATTGCCGTACAAAACTTCGACCTCAGTAAATGGACGGCTTGTGGGGCTGCTAAGACCCTCGATACAACCGTATTCAGCGAAGAAAACGGGCACCGGATAATCGGAGAAGAATTGGACGCGCTCGCCGTAGGAAGAGCTTGCGTAGTTGCTGTCACCGCACCAAGAATAAACGTTGTAACCCCAGAAATCGATCGAGGTTGTGTTACCCGCGTTGCCGGGTTGGCACGCGAAGTAATGCGCAAGCTCGTCGCGAGACGGGACATCGGCAGTTGCATAGCCTACTCCCAAAGTGCTGCGGTAATTCTGGTTCTTGATATATGTCTTTGTGTCACGGACAGCAGCCTTGACGAATGCGGCAGCGGCGGTTTTGTTGTTGCTGCTAACATTCTCGTTACCAGCAAAGAAAACAATAACGTTTCGGTACTTGCTCAGCGCATCGACGACGCCTGTGTATCGCTGGTAAAGCGTGACATCCCACTCTGGGTTGTTTGACTCGATGGATGTACCGGGCTCGCCCAAGTCGGAGATGAAATAGATGTCTGCGCTGGCCAATTGCGCCATGCAGTCGTCATGGTTTTGAGTCGGGTCGATAGCGTACACGCGGATGATGTTTGTGTAGATTTGCTTGAGGTAGGGAATATCTCGTCGGCAGGCGTCGCCATCGGCAAGCGGGTCAGTGTACTTGGTATTGGCGCTTGTTGAGCCATTGGGAGAGTAGTTCTGCTGGTATGCGACACCCTTGAGATAACTGCGATATGGTTAGCATGGTGATCTTGACAATGCTAGAGCAGGCATACATACAATTGAGAGCCATTGTTTGTGTAGAAGAAATGTTGTCCATAGACCTCGATGTCTGGAATGTCGTCGTAGCTCGCTGCGCTCACCCCACTGGCAGCCAGCGCCGCCACAGCGGTGGGAACAAGACGCTTCCACATTACCATGTTGGCTGTCGATAACGAATGTAGGTAACGAATGTCAAGAGTAGTCGAAGCTTCCCCCAGCGCAGCTTGGTAGACCTTGGGCAAAAGCTTGGCTGTGTAGTGCAGGCAGAACACAAGAAACAAAGGAACGCAGTGTTTCCGGGGCAGCCGGGTAGTTATTCTTCCAAGGCCTTGGACGACCAGGGACGCGTGTCTTAGGGTTTTACGGGCTGGCTGCAGGTACTATACTATTTCAATCACCACGCGAACAAGGTGGCTATGCTGACACTTGCCCGGCCCGAGGTGGCAACGTAGGCGCTGATGACGCTGCCGTCGTTGTTTGGTGTGGGGCTGGGGATTGGGCGATCTATCGATTAGTCGACTGCTAAGCTTTTCGGGAGCGTCTAGTGTGTTTGTCACCCCCAGTTTTCGTCAATCTGGGTTGGCAACGCGTCTTGGTTCACGGAAATAGGACAGGGTTTCGACTTGTCGTCTTCGAGCACCTCAATTCCATTGCTGCGCGATTTGGGGCCGCGATGCCTGCAACGCAGGTCCGGAAACGCCACCAACCGCCCGTCACCTACCCCTTCAGGCCGCGTGTACCCCCGTATCTCGCTTGTTAGGGCAATGCATGAACTGATATCCAATACCGAGGTTCTTTGGGACCCTGCGCGAAGAAACTTTGGAACCTCTCCATCACCACACTCTTACCAAGACGGCAGTCGGCTGTTGCTGTATAGTGTGCAATAAGAACGCACAAGAAGCGTGTCGTGCATCTCCGTTACTATGGTATGGCTGTAGTGACAAATTCTTTCGGGAATAAATTCACGTCATGGCAACTAGCTGTAATCCTCACATGTAATCTGCTCTTGTCGCACCATCATTCTTTTATTGAATCAAGAGAATCTAAACAAATTGAAGTACGCAATATTTTACGACTTCTTCCAGTACAGAGCGGTTGTCAGTACAGCCTTGGGATATGTCAGATAACTCTCCTCCCCTCAAAACACTCTACCCACAACAAAAGCCTCAAACACCGCATTCTCAAAAGCGCTCCTTTCGATCACGCCTCCAAAACCATAACATTGTACTAAACTTGTCAAGCTCAGCTTCAGGCTCTCCCACCTTCCCACTTCAAGGCCAGTAAATTGTTCTTGTCGCCGGACATAGTCCCATGCTTGTACGGGCGTGACTTCATTGTCTTGTAAAGGGACAGAACCAGACAGTGCCAACAGCTGATCTATACTGGCATGAGGAACTTCCCAAGTCGCAGGAGACAATTGACGTTGGCCGGGTGGCGAAGGATGATGATGGAAGAGGCATGCTGAGACAGTGAGGGCGTGGCCGGTCGAAGTGGGAGGATCCGTATCCGAGCTGCTACTATTGGGCGAGGCGACGTCGATATGTGGTAAACAGGGAGATTCGAGACTACACATGAACTTTTAGCGATGCTAGCTTAGTGAGGGGCAAGCAGGGCGCATACGTCAAGACAAAGTCCATTCCAACAATTTCTGGGTCGAGGCTACCCATACATATCGTGGAACTGTCAGGAAAGGTGCTAGAAGTGTACCCTGATCCCGTAGAGCCAGACAATGGCGGGGGAATGAGTTGCGGCGGGCTGGCTGCGCGAGTTCCATCAGTGAGGACATCACCACCAAATGCAGTTGCAACTTGACTGCAATACACTTACTTGAAGGCTCTCTCGGCATCTGCTGTACGTATATCTGTTTCCTTCGGTTCTTCCTCTTGTTCTCTTGGCCGATTGTCAGCGCTATCGTCTTTTCCTTCTCTATATTGCCTGCTCTCTCCCCGCCATGGGTGACTTCTGGTCTTTCAGGTATTGCAATTCCGTTCTCTGTCAGCAATATCTTCAGAAAAGTAACTTCAGAGTATAAGGTCTTCGCCTCCTGCGAAAGCCTGGCTTCATTCGCCCGCAACTGAACTACTTCGCTTTCAAGAGAAGCAGTGTATGCTTCTTTTCGCTCCCGATGGGTTCTGTTCAACGAATTTTAGTCCAAGAAATTGTTCTCGGGGCATAAAGGCTGAACGGACTTCTGCGCTCGACGAACCTGTTCTCTGCGCCTCTGTCCCGGATTGCGCGAATCGACATCGTCTGAGTAGACGAAATCACTATTAGCGATTCATACCTAGGATACCATGGGCCAAATATAACATACCGTCTGGGGAACTCTTATCACCTTTGAAAGGCTTGAAAGTAAACTTCATCACGCACAAAGCCTCTATCGTGCCGGGGTGTGCAGGTAATTAGTCAGTTGCCCACTAAGAGGATTAGGAATGAATTGCTACACTTGTGCTGTCACCCTACACAAGCCCGAGTACTGATATTGTGCAATGGGAACAGTGGTCAAGACGATGAGCGATACATGCTAAACAGGTGTCCAGTCTAGTTTTCCCGCAATCCCGTATCCATTTCCAGCGTCGCGCCAATGAGAACGGCCCGGCTGGCATGTCTGACAGGCGCAGCTGAGGCAATGTTAAATTGTGCGACCTAGGGGCTGTCTGCTACCGGAAACTCCAAGCTAACCTTTTCTGGTAATTGCTTCATGATCCAGATTCCTTGTTCAGGCAATGGATCTACGAAGCGCTCGCTTGACACAAGCATCGTTTCGTGTCTACCGCATAGCCGACCTACATCCTTGGACTTGATCCGCACAGGAACGACTGCAAGGTCAGTATCACGCGCCATGCGAAGAATCCTTGCGGCTTTCAGCCTGGGGACGCCGCGGGTGTGCTTGGTGACCCTGTCATCCTGCACAAGTGCAAGCCATTCCAGATTAGGAAATCCTGATCGAATAATCAGTACATCTCGGTACGTGACAGTGCAAGGCATCAGTACTGAGGCAGTGCCTATAAGAGAAGAGCGTACCATCGATAGAGTTGTCTTCAACAGATTAGCTGGACTTTCTCACTTCCTTCACGTTACTTTCAAAACTTTCACTTCCATTTCACTTTTGGTCTCTCTTTTACTACCACAACACATCGCGTACTACAACCATGTTCGCAAAAACAATCCTCCTTGCTCTCCTTCCATCGATAGCAGCAGCAGCACCGCATCAGCAGCATCGCGCAGGTGCGGCGGACCAGGCACAACAACATGGTGGCATGAGCTGTATGCAACAACCGAATGCTGGCAAACCTGCTGTAGGAAGGGCCATCTATATGTTGACGAATGATGCCGAAAATGCCGTCGTTGCACTGCCCATCGGAGCCGATGGCATGCTCTCCAAAGGCAAAGTGATGAAGACAGGTGGTGCTGGATCTGTTGCTGTTGATGCAGAGGGAAAACCTGCAACGCCTGATGCGCTCGTTGGCCAGTCTGCTTTAACTATCGCTGGAAACGCAGGTTTCTCCCTTCCCATGAGTGAATGCGAAGAATATTTGGCTAACGAGATTCAGAACCTATTCGCTGTGAATGCTGGCTCTAATACCCTTACCATGATGACCATATCATCAAGAGATGCCACATCGCTCTCGTGCGTTGGTAAGCCTTTGGCCATACCTGGCGAATTCCCAAATACTGTCGCTGCGTCTGCGAAGAACAAGCTCGCCTGCGTCGGCACAACAGGTGCCAAAGCGGGAATCTCATGCGCTTCCTTCTCCCGGCAAGGACTCGGGCAAATGGATGAGCTTCGATCCTTTGATCTCGGACAAAGCACACCGCCTGTAGGACCACTGAACACAGTCTCACAGACTTTCTTCTCGTCTGACGAATCTGCTCTCTTCACGACCGTCAAGGGCGACCCGACAGTGAACAATACGGGCTTCCTCTCCACCTACTCGGTGCAAGCCTCAAACGGAGCGGCCACTCTATCCAAGAAAGATGTTCGTAGCTCGCCCAACGGAACTGCGGTGCTTTTCGGCTCAGCTACCTTGTCCAACGACCCGTCTACCCTCTTTGTCACTGATGCTTCATTCGGTGCTACCGTATTGTCGATTGACTCCAAAGGCCAAGCAACAGTCAAAGGGAAACAAGCTATTGATGGCCAAGCAGCAACCTGTTGGGCTACCATCTCCGACGCAACAAACAGCGCCTTCGTAACAGATGTCGGAGTGAACCGTGTTGTGGAGATGAGTCTAGACGACGCAAGCATTATCAAGCAACTTGATCTATCTGCAAATGGCGACCCTGGTCTCATTGATCTGCGTGCGGCAGGAGACTTTGTTTACGCATTGAGCCCAGGTAATGGGACGACAGCTGCGGCGATAACGGTGCTGGATGTATCTGGAGGCCAGGGATCTATGAAGCAGGTGCAACATTTCGACCTGAGTGGAATGGCAGGAAAGAACGCTCAGGGTATGGCTGTGTTGATGTGAGGGGAACCGATCGTGTCTCATCTGTAGCATGTAGTGTCTGCAATTCTTAGCCTTCCATTTTTTTCGTACTGACTGCCTGCTGCGTTCATCTTTACAAATCTGCTTAGTGGCTAATTCCTACCGCTGGTGCACAGGTGATAGTTTCTACTTTGTTATCGGAGTGTCCTTGTTTGTGACGTCCAACTCCACTACTCATAACTAATTTACATGTTATACAAGTCGTCAATCGTAGCGTTGGTTCGCTCAGGGAGACGGCGTAAGTGCTTAGCGCATAGACTACGTCTTGATAAATCATCTAAAGCCAACTGTATGTAAACGGCGCATCTGTCTCCTGCCCTCGGACGTCGGAGCTGGTGGGAACAGATCGCTCGGAGTAGGACGAGGGCGGTACGTCTGCTGCGCGGGTGCTGGACGGCTGGTAGATTTGCTGGGCTCGGTGGGTGGCTTGTTGACCGCTTGAGCTGACTCTTGTGTTTGGTATTCAGGATCTTCGGCATCCTCTTCCAGATCTTCAATGTCTTGTTCCAACTCCTTCAACGCTTCATCAGCGCTCTTATCCTTCCTTTGGTGCGTTCTCAGTACTCCACCCCACAATGTCTCAAGGTCTGTCTCGGCTCTCTTCTCCTCTGTAAACATCTGTACGACAACGTTGACGCCAGGCTTGATGTCCCTGAATCCCACAAACTGCTCCACATCCGCTCCTGGCATGTGCGTATCGTCGGGATGTGCTTCCAGCTTCCCAAGTGTACAGCAGATCCAGCCGGTCCGTATGCCGTCATCGATATTCCCCTCGGGTGCAGCGCCGCCAACGTTTGCCAACATTCTCATGCGCTTCGCCTTTCGCCTCAGTTTGATCTTCAGCTCGTTGCGACCCAACAGACCAGCTGCATTCGCCTTCAAGCCGTGTTCACGTCGGAGCCATCTGCAAAAGCGATCGGCTGCTACGTGCAGATGTTTTTCGGAGCGCGCTGTTGCGATGATCATAATCAGCTTGGGGCCGAGCGCAGGCGGGGGATCGAGATTTCGGAGGTCGAGCAACTGTAAATCGTCCAGACCGGCCGTGACGGAAACATATTCGAGTAGTGTTTGCAGGAGTGGTGGCGGATTTGGCGGGAGATCTGGGACTTCAGCGGGGTTCAGTGTGGGCGACTGGACCGACGACTGTTGTCTCAGGTACCATGGGATGGCGTTGTCTTGTTGAGAGGGCACTGGTGCAGCTTCTTTCGACTCGTTCAGAACGTCTGTTGTGTCTTGCTGAGACACAGCATCCACAGCTATCGGCTTCGACTTCTCGTCGAGAAATGCAAACTCGGGGTCTTCGGTCGCAGGATCATTCCTGTCTAATCTTGGAATCGCACTCGTGCTGAAGGCGCATCGTGAGAATGTCCGAGGCGAGGTGCGTGATAATGCGCCATTGAGTCTAGGTGCCGGGACAATTTTGCGCATATGTGCGCTGCGACAGGTGTTGCAGACAAACCTCGAGGAAGCGATGGTTGGGAAAGACATGGTGGGCAACAAAGCGGGCACCAAAGATCGGATGGCGTTGTGCAGCACAACTTTCCCAATGACATCGGTGTTTTGCTGTACCGACTGTCCAAGACCCCTGCTGGCGTCTGACGGGCTGCCACGTGACGGCCGATAAGATAAGACTTTTTGCCCCTCACACTGGCGGAATTTCCAATCGACGACTCATTCGCGCACTAGTTTTTCCCCTCCATATACCCTTTGCCTGCCCTTCTGGTTTCTGAAGCAACTCGAATCACCGAACCCGCCTACGTCGAAACGATACCGCACATATGGAGGGCGTCACCATGGATGGCCAGCGCTCTTTTGCGCCTGAGCCCAAGAACGCCGCAACCATTCTCTGCGCAGACTGCGGCGCGCCTGTTGACGGCACCCTCTCTGGTGCCTTCTGCTACGACTGCATAAAACTGAAGACGGACGTTACCGGCGGCATCCCGCGCGAAGCCATTCTGCTCATGTGCCGCGACTGTGACCGATGGCTCTCCCCTCCCACGACCTGGGTCGTCGCCCACCCCGAATCGCGCGAACTGCTCGCTCTCTGCCTGCGAAAACTGCGCGGACTCAACAAGCTGAGAATCATCGACGCCAGCTTCATCTGGACCGAGCCGCACAGCAGGAGGATAAAGGTCAAGATCACGGTGCAGTCGGAGATCAACGAGGGCGCCATCATGCAGCAGAGCTTCGAGGTCGAGTTCACACAAAACTACAACCAATGTCCAGACTGCGCCAAGAGCTACACCCACAACACATGGAGGGCGTCGGTACAAGTCCGACAGAAGGTGCCGCACAAGAGGACGTTCCTGTACCTGGAACAGCTGATTCTGAAGCATGGCGCCCACAAGGACACAATCAACATCAAGGAAGTCCACGACGGTATCGACTTCTTCTTTGCCCAGAGGAACCACGCCGTGGCCTTCTGCGACTTCCTCAAGGCCGTCATCCCCGTCAACATCAAGCGATCCGAAGAGCTCATCTCGCACGATATCCACACCTCGACAAAGAACTACAAGTTCTCCTTCTCGTGCGAGATTGTGCCCATCTGCAAAGACGATCTTGTCGTCCTTCCTATCCCGCTCGCAAAGAAGCTCGGCAACGTCTCACCCCTCACACTCTGCACCCGCATCGGTACCTCAGTACAACTACTTGACCCATCGACGCTCCAGACAGCCGATGTCGCCACCGACATCTACTGGCGAACGCCTTTCCGACCCCTCGCCGACGTACAGGAACTGACCGAGTTTATTGTTCTCGACATCGAGCCTCTAGGTAAGCAGGTCGGCCGCCATTTTCTCGCCGAGGCCACCGTAGCCCGCGCCTCAGACATGGGCGTCAATGACACAACATACTACTGCCGCACACACCTCGGTGGAATCCTACACGTGGGCGACTCGGTAATGGGTTACTTGCTTGCCAACACAAACTTTAATAACGAGCTTTTCGACGTCCTCGAATCCAACAACAAGTACTCATCCGCCATTCCTGACGTCATGCTTGTCAAGAAGTACTACCAGCGCTCCAAGAAGAACAAGAACAAGCGCAACTGGCGCGTCAAGCGTATGAACAGGGAGGAAGGCGAGATGCTGCCTCGCAAGCAAGACCAAGAAAAGATGGAGCGCGACTTTGAGATGTTCTTGCAGGACGTTGAAGAGGACCAGGACCTGCGCGCGACCATGGCACTATACAAGGCGCAACAGGAGCAGAAGCAGCGCGATGCGGATGCTATGGAGACGGAGAGTAGCCTTGGCGATGATGAAGATGAAGGCCTGCAGATCCCTATGGAGCAGCTGCTGGATGATTTCGAGGAGATGAAGATGGAGGACTAGGTTTGAGACTCATGATATCTATGTCGCATCGGTTCTGGCGTTGTCTCTTAGTGCATCTACGGGCGTTGGGCGGGTAAAAGGCATGGGAGTACCAAGTTGATAGACTTTTCGATTTTAGCCATGTCGACGGCGCGTCGTGTCCCGCAATCTGAATTGTTTCACACGCCTCACACTGTCGCATATTATTACACTTGTTGAACGCCTAACAACCCCACTGCTGTGGGCAAGAGTTGATGTTGGAATAAAACCTTCTCGACCACGTTTTTCTTTGCCTCGCTTGTCGTGACGTAGGGACCTTGTCGCGAGCTAAGCACGGTCGCATGTGATCGCAGTTTCACCAGTTCGCCTGAACTCTCTCTGAAGCTCTCCCCCTCATCATTGCACATCCCAATGTCCTACAAAAGAAAGTCAGCCGATAGCTGTAAGTTTGCGCCCTCTGGTAGGTTCATAGCGACTACACTCTTGCGCACGCCAGAAATTCCGCCTAAGGAGGTGCTGGTCTTGTACAACCTTGGAGAAGGCTCAAGGGTTCAACACCTGACGGGCATATCCTTCGTCCCATCTACGGCTGCTTGTTTCCTACGGTTGATGTTGTCTCGCATCTGCCAGTGCGGACACCGCTCCAGGCGATCTGGATCTGCGTCCAAGGGTGCAGGATGTGTCATGCACTAGGATGAAATACGAAAGAGTTGGCGATGCGCCAGGGCCAAACACCTCGGCAGTACTTATCAGGAGCTCTAGACTTGGGGAGCATGTCATCGCCCACAACCACACCCTTTCTATGCGTCGCCCTTTGGAGGGTTTCTTTTCGGCAATAACAAACCTGAAAAGAACTCTGCAAGAAGTAATGCTGCCATCTGTGGAGTTTTCAGCTCCTGCTGTTCACGAATAACGGTGACTCGCGTGTCGCACCATCGCCGTGGTCTAGTTCTGATGACATGCCACCCTAGTCTTCGATCGTGAGAAACGCTCCCGTCTGAACGGCTTCGCAGCCGCATTCGAAAAAGATCCCCGGTCTCCAGTCCACTGGGGCGATTGCATTCTCTTCGAATTTCCAGAAAGCCTAGATTTCGGCAAAGAAGGGGCCGCCATCATCCCCAAACGGCATGCGATTCAGCCCGGACAACCAGCAAAGCCTGTTGAAAGATCAGCTTGCGCAATGTCGTTCCCGGCACTTGGGAATATAGGGTTCAGCGTCCCTCAGGTACATGCCTTGATGCGCAGGTCGCAGTTCTTCATACCGCGACTTCGACTTTTCATGTCTTCATACGCCCGAAGACTTTGATAGTGGCGCCCCGATTTTCCAACGAAGCGTAGCATACGCATTTGGTCACAATGGCTGACGCATTCACCGCCGTCATCAGTGAGATGATCAAAACTCCTCCAGACCCAAATGAGCCTGTGCCACTGGCGAACCAGAAAGGCACAATGTTCGGTGTCACAATACCATTCCATGTATGTCCAGCTTGAGAGTAGGATATCCCGGAAGCTCACAAGTACAGGTACTTTGCTGGATTTTCGTTGCCTTTCGTCTGCACACACGTCTGCGGATTGTTCGCGAACCTGGACTTGATGACCTCTTCGTAGTCCTGGCAGCTGCATTCAACTTACTATCACTTGTAACCTTTCTCCACGGTAAGCATTTCCGCCTTGACCTTGGGCTTATCTAACTCGTCTCGTAGGTACCAGGTATGGCATGGGCCACCATCTTATATACTCCTTCAGTGTACTACAGCCAACTATGCTTTGGCTTTACATCACCAATGCCGCATATCACACAACCACCGCCTTCATCAAGATCTCGCTACTCTTACAGTACCTAAGGCTGTTTCGTGAAGGCACTCGTCGCACAGTCTCTATCGTACTGCTTGCGCTGGTTGTAACATGGGGCTTGACATTCTCCTTCATGGCCTGGGTACCATGCTTTCCTGTCTCTGGGTTTTGGGACAGAAGCAAAGGTGCCAAATGCTACGGCTTCGGGTATCGCACCGTCAACGAGGCGAAATACTCGGTACTTTCTTTTGCTGCGACGAACATGTTGTTTGATATCGCAATCTTTCTTGTTCCGCTCACGGAATACTTCAGGCCAGACCTGAGACGAAAACAGGTTCTCGCCATGACTGGGTTATTCGCTCTTGGTTCCATGTAAGCCAAGTTTGTCGAATTTTATAATTATCGCTGACATGTTCAGCGTCGTACTCATGGCTATCCTCCGTCTTTGGAGCACCTTCAAGCATAGTCAAAGCAAAACTCAAAGCTTTGATTTTACCTGGTGGTATCCCGAAGTCCTGATCATCTCCTGCCTCGAAGTCGATTTCGCTATAATGTGCGCAAGCATGCCCATCTTCTGGCCTACCGTCATCGCAAACTGGAGTCACATCTTTGTCACAAACGAAGTCCGCGTTACACACCACCAACGCCTCGCCGACGACAGCCGAGATAATTTCGAGTTAGTTAGGAACACGTCGTTGAAGAGCGTAGGAAGCGTGGAGGGGTTGGCAAGGGCGAGTGAGGAACAACAGGCGGTTTACAACGGATTCGACCCGGAGACGGGTAAAGATGGACGGTTTGCTATCATGCAAGTAGAAGTACAACCGCATGCGCAGGAACCGCGGAGACTCTGAATAGCAAGTCCTTGAGAGACTGAGCATTATGTCCTTAATATTGACTGCCCTTGCTCCTGAAATTGATATTGCTAACAACGAAATGGCGATGCTGGTTAGTTATGGCTGATCTCTGAGTACCCACAGGCTACCACGGCAAACGTTGCTGCGCCTACAGGATTCTGATGTATGCACGAGCGCATATCATGAACGCAAAAAAGCTTTTGCATCGTCGATCGGCTCGTATCAAGGCTAGTCGAGCTCAGCACTAGGAAAGAAGACAAGGCTGTCTGTGAGATTTTGGAATGTTAGACATAAGTGGGTAAGAACAACGGTGAGCAAGCAAAGCCGGCGAGTACATCTAGCATTCCCTCTCTTTGTTCTCACATCCTTGCAAAATAGCAGTCTAAGCGGCCGTTATGATTAGGATTTTCCTCTCCTTTGCACACAGACTAAAACAACAGGCACCCACCCACCGTTCACATAATTGCGATATCTTCGAAGAACCACATCTTGCCCGCGAGCACCCGATTAGCGGAAGATCGGTTGGTCGACGCGCCATCAAAGCAGGGGCAAGGGCAAGGGCAGTCGCGTCAGTGCGTTAACACCTGGGCAGCGAGCGCATCCGGCGTCCCTCGGTCATACCCGAAACTGTGGCTCCCTGGTTTATCATTGCTGGCCCATTCGTACACGAGACAATCGCAAACATGCAGATTCGTCTTCACAATCGAATCCTTGGCTATTTTCGACATATCGCGGACGACACCCGTAGGCTATGGCAAGGCATTCTGCGCGTGCGATATGGACCAGACATTATTTATCCATCATCTATTTACCGCCCTCGCAATGATTTGCATGGTCTCGCGCCTTGTCTGCCGGAAGATTCTATTCAAGAAATTTGACTTTGGAGACTATTGTACCATGGGTGCGATGGTCTGCGCTGCTACGCGCGGTGGTGTAATACACGTCGTCCTTACTTGGGGTACGAACAACATGCCCGAAAAACTCCGGGCGATTACAGACTTCACTCCCGTCGAAATATATCGCCGCACAGTTGGTAGTAAACTTGCTATCACGAATCGTCCAATCTACAACACCTAGTGAGTACTACTGGTTCATAACGACGTGGACTAACAGTGTTAACAGCCTGTGGTTACAGAAATCAGCAATACTTTTTTTCTACCTTCATCATATCCATCCAAGCGAACAATGGAAGCGATACATATCCTGGTCCTACGGCATAATCTTCGCTGCAACTTGGGTTGCTGCGCAGATTGTTGGCTTCACTGAGTGTGACCCTTTCCATCTGTACTGGCAGGTGGTTCCAGCTCCCGGAAGCTGTGTTCAGGCACAAGTTCAACTGTTCGTGCTAGGTATCCTTAACATCGTGAGTCCATCTCGCTGCTTCCAAACACATGTTCTGTTGAGTGTGGTTAGGCTAACTTGAGCCCGTCGCTAGATCACCGATTTCATGATACTCGCCCTCCCACTCCCAATGCTCTCTTCGTTGCGAACACCATGGCGCACAAAGATACGCCTTTATTCTCTTTGTACACTTGGAAGTAGGTCCTGACTGTAACGATGGCACGTAAGACATACGCTGACTTCAACCCCCCATCATAGTATTCATCATTGCAATCACCATAATTCGACTCCCAATCAACGCAATGCATGCAGCTGTACAAGCAAACCGGACGACATGGGCAAGCACTGAGCTGCTTGCCGCTGCGATAGTGGTAAACGCGCCTGTTTTGTATGGAGCGTTCAACATCTGGCGACAACGCTCACGCCGAAAATCTCAAAGACTGGCACCACGCGCAGGCGCATCATCCACGATACGCACCATAGGCAGTGGCGGCAAGCAACCCAAAAGATTATCAAACGTGCCAAAAGACGATGAGGAGCTTATGCTTCAGCCTTGTCGCCAGACCAGCATAACATCCTGCACATCCCTCCAAGATCCGCAGAGCGAAGACGGAGCAACAAAGAAGCCCGACTTAGGATCGTATGAGGAGGCGGATCGGAATCGGGCGCAAGCCTCGAATTGAATAAGACAGCCTCCATTTTTTCAGATGATAGGTCGAATCAGATTCATGCAAGTTCATCTCGTGGAGCGATACAGTACTCGTGCGGGTCAAACCTCCGTTCTACCAGCCCAGTGCTTTACCTGTTAAGGCTAGACAATCGAATTCTTGAGGCGGGTGGGGACAAACCTCGGGATTATGGGACCCGCAGCCAAGACCAAGAACAATCTTCCGGCCCATGCCGGTATCTGTCTGAACCCACAACAGCCGTGTTCGACAACGGCGGCTTCCGCTTTCAAGCAGTAGAACTCTTGGGGCGCCTCAAACAGCTATACCATAGTTGAGTAAATGGGGGCGAGGGAGTCCTAGTGTCTTACGGTATCACGCGAGGAACCGAAGAAAAAGAAATTTACATACGGGAGGATCGTAGCCGCATGAAACCCCTGTAAGAAGGATGAAGCCCAGTTCGATCAACCATCTCCGCAGATCCTCATCTAAGGCGGTGTGACGAATCAGAGCCACGCAGCAGCGATTTTCTGCTGGATATGCTGGCCTCATAGCACGACAACGCAGCAGTCTACCTCGACACCATCTCCTCGTCTCATCTTCACCCTTTAGTACAGGTCCCACACGGCCCGTCAGTCATGAAGCTTCTGCGACGTCTGACGCTCCTCGCCTGCTTGGCGTCAGCACAGAATGACCGGCCTATCGAATCTGAAGTCCCAGCGGTACGGACATACTTTTACGTCGGCGGTGGCTATGCCGACGATGGCAAGGGCGGTCACATATTCAAGGACCAGATGTACGTCGAAAAACTATCGCCTGTTTCGAACGAACAAGATGTGAAGCCCCCCGTTGTTTTGATTCACGGACAAGGTCAGACTGGAACAAACTTTCTCGTCAAGCCGGATGGAGGGGTGTCATGGACCTCACACTTCCTTGCAGCTGGCCATACAGTCTACATCGTGGACCAAACCTTCCGTGGCCGCTCCGCGTGGGCACCAAGGGCCGGCGCTGATGCCCCATCGACTTACTCTGCTGAGCTTATCCAACAACGCTTCACTGCTCCGCAGCAATACCGCTTGTGGCCTCAATCAACACTTCACACTCAATGGCCAGGAACAGGCGTTATGGGCGATCCTACTTTTGACGCTTTCTACTCCTCGAACATCCAGTTCATCTCCAATGCTACCTATCAGCAAAGCACCGTACAGTCTGCTGGAGCACAGCTTTTGGATTTAATCGGCACTCCTGCTTGGCTACTTGGCCACAGTCAAGGAGGAATCCTGCCATTGCTCATAGCTGATGCTCGACCTCGTTTAGCGAAGGGACTTATCTTGCTAGAACCGACAGGCCCACCCTTCCAGGAAGCGGTTTTCGGGTCTGCAGCAGCGCGAAAGTGGGGCTTGACGGATATACCGGTGAACTATTCACCTCCAGTAACTGACCCTGCAGAACTGGTCCAGCAAGTTTATCAGCCTGCGAATCTGACTAGTAACAACGCGACCGTTCCTTGTGTGCTGCAAGCAATGGATCCAGCACCGAGGCAGCTGATCAATATTGCGCCACTGCCCATTCTCACTGTTACGTCGGAAGCCAGCTACCATGCGCCGTACGATTATTGCACAGTGAACTTCCTCAAACAGGCAGGCTGTTCCAAGGCTACGCATCTCGAACTTGGCAAAGTTGGTATCCATGGCAATGGGCATATGATGTTTATGGAAAAGAATAGCGATGAAATATGGCAACGTATTTACAGTTGGATAGAGCAATCTTAAGGAAGCTCTACTAGGATGTTTGGCCCTCGTCACCAGTATACCTTGGTGCATCTATAAATCAAAATGATGGTGTCATTTACACCCGCAACTATTTCAAGGCTCTTCCAACTTCTTGCCGTCTTGACATACTCCATCCATTGCTATGTCTTTCTCCGGTTCCGCACTCTTCTTCCTAATGTCCTTCCAACCCATGCCTAGGCTGGCAATGACAGCTATACATGCTATAGCTGACAAGAAATAAAACACATTGCGAAGACTCTCCGAATACGCTCTCAATAGACCATCCAATTCTTCAAGTGGTACAAGAGCCCGTACGGCACTGGCACTAGATCCAGTATCAAGTACAATCCGAGGCGATACTGACGGCTCGTAAAGTGAAATTTTGGAGGTGAGTGTCTGCGCGAAGATAGTGTTGGCAATAACGACAGCAACAGATGTGCTGAGGTTTTGGAAAAAGACGAGACTGGCTAGAGCAATCGGGTATTGGGAAGGTGGTACGGCGTTTTGTACTGCAATAATTGCCTGGAAGTGTCAGTGATTGAGCAACCACTCGAGCTGTACTACGGGTTACCATCTGCATGCCACATCCTCGGCCAGCGCCCAGAACGATTTGATATCCGATCCATACCGCGGTGCTTGTAGATACCGTAAACGTTGACACTAGAACATTTCCTATGGTGGTGATGACACCACTAGCGAGTGCCCAAGGGAGATAGTATCCCATACGTGATACTGACAAGGGTGAGCCAACATGTCCACGGAGTAGTCGGCACGGAGACATACCTGCAGCGCCAGTAGCGATAACAGCCAAAAGCTGACTCAAGATACTTGGCAAGACGTGTACGCCACTATCAGTAGGTCCGTTATTCTTCACGGCTTGGAAGTAGGTCGGCATCCAGATGCTTGCTGTCATCATACAAGTGATGATGCAGCTGGCGTGCACGCAGCTGGTCCAGACAACGCGCTTCCCAAGAAGCTTTCCTGGAAGCATAGCCTGATCCTCCGCTCTCTTCTCCCAGAGTATGAAGAGGATGGCGCATATTCCTGCGCCACAAAATAGCCCGATAACGACGGAGGAATCCCAAGCTTGAGCTCCGCTACTGCCAAGCTGCAGAGCGAGAAGTAGCATGACAGATGGAGGGACGAAGAGCACAAAGCCGAACAGGTCGAGATCGGAAACAACTTTGCGAAAAACGGATACGGTAAGACGTGGCTTCAGAGTGCGCTCAGGAATGCGGACAAGAGTGATGAGCGCGGCTGCCGCTCCTCCTATCGGTAAGTTCATGTAAAAGCCTACGTTGGAGCCACAGTCAGCTTCAAGGACAAAACAAGATGTGAAAAAATACTCAACATACACCAACGCCATGTGGCATGCTCAGTAAGAGCGCCTCCAATAAGTGGCCCTGCGACAATACCCATTTGTGCAGCTATCATCTGGTCAGCATTCGACCACGTTCACTTCCAGGCTACAATATGCGTACTTCCAAGTACTATGCCAGTGTATACTATAAACCTTAATTAGCATTATTCTCTTGCACTAACGAAATTGCAGACGTACCAGGACTCTTCTCTGCTGGAACAGCTGCAGCTAGCATCGTCATAGCGCCGTTAACGATGCCCGAAGCTCCTAAGCCTGCAACCACTCTTCCTACGATCAGGAAAGCCGAAGAGCTAGCGACAGCGCAAAGTAGAGATCCAAGCTCGAACAAAAGCACGAAAGTGAGAAACACAACCTGTGAGGTGATCAGAGGTATGCTACTCTCTCGGAAGAAGCTGGTGCTTACCTTGGTACTGAGATTGGCATAGAGCTTCCCAGAAAGCGGTTGCAGCGTCGCGCTGGCAAGCGTAAAAGCACCAATATACCAACCGACATCAGCGAGGGAGTGGAATTCGGATGTGATGCGTGGTATCGCCTGGTGTCTTCAGTATTGATCCCTAATATCGGCCTCGTAGATTGTTCATACAGTACCCATGATGGATGTATCAAGGCAGACTAGGAACGTAACAAGCGTCAAGCTGCCGAGAAGAACAAAGAGTCTCAGACCACTGAGATATTGGTCCCTTGAAGCGATGTTCCCATTATGTGTCATGCCGACTGCCTCCTATAGTTAATTCGATCTGCGCAGTATCGATCCAAGACGTAGAGTTGCAGCGAGATGGCGTCAGATAGGTAGACAAGTATATGAATGCGAAAAGCACAGAACGCGATGCAGGCATGCAGTGACCAGATACAAGAAGGACAAGAAGAGAGATTAAGAAGAAATCGTCCATTGATGTATTGCACTGTTTCGATGGTAACTGTGGAGGCCTGAGCGTGATTGAACGGGTTTCGGGTTTGAAGTGGACTTCAGGCAACCGCATCTGTGTCAAGGAAAGCAGATCGAACGCCGGTGCACCGATGCAAGTCTAGTCTTGTATTCTTACGATCTGCACAGCTCCCCAATAGCTTGACCATGTAGGTATGGCAGTGGCACTCTCACGTAAGTTAAAAATTGAAAGCACTAGGCATCCAAAAGTCGCTCGAAAAGTCCATCATCCCTATATCTCCAATCAACCCGTTGTTCCAGCCGTCCGCTGCGCTGTCCATGATGTTATCATGCTCTCTTGTAGGGAGTTTCCAGTTTGGCGCCTTAGCTCTCAGTGTCTCTGCGGCCGCAGCAAACAAACTTTCTTCGCCTGTTTGAGCCTTGTATTCGGAATTAGCCCGCTCAGCTATCTCCGCAAGTTGCTCTAGGCACTGCACGATGTCGACAGTTGATTGGACAATTGTTGGATCCCAGCCAGCTACTCCTTTGATGCTAGAGAGTCGAAATAAGATCTTGCAACAATAGGACCATATGAGCATTGATGGAGCTGTCAAACTCATAGTGTCGCCAGCCAAAGCGTGATCTCGACAGGCTTTACATGTCTGTAAGAGTTCCATAAGGTATCCGATGCGCTTGGAGTCGAACGCGAGTTGCGACGCTGCCGTCTCAGTTGTGGACGACCTCAAGAGCGCGAGTTCATAAATGGCAACCTGGGCTGTTTGGGTGAGCCCGATGATGAGCCCTAGATATAATTAAGTGTTTGAAGAGGTGACGGCATAACGATCTTACAGTGTTGTAGACATTCAGGAGCGAGCGATCTCTGGAAATTGCTAAGCGCCAGGGTAAGAGGATCAATAGCTATCATAGCATATCTTGCTGTACTGGGATCACCCGAAGCTCTTCGAGATACCTCGGCAGCACTGATCGCAATCTTCGCCAGACGCGCACTGGCAGCTAATATGCCGTCTTCTTGAGATTCTCGGCCTTTGCTCAAACAATCGCATGCGTCTTCCATCTGCGATGACCAGAGCATTAGGTCGTATTCGAAGATTATTGAAACACTTCCGCAATCAGTTGAGCCAAGCCGGGGTCTATCAGAAACTCACTTCGCGCATAGTATGAAGACAGCTAGTAACGCTCTACTTCCCTCATTTGTCCGAACTTCCTTGTTATCCACATGAGGGCCTAGACTTGGGCATCCCGTCGGTTGCGCAGGCTTGTCAAGACGAAGATCGCTCACCACCGTCTTCGCAAGATTGCACATGGAGCCCAGAAATTGCTTACCGTGGGTAAAGTACGGTGACCTAGATTTGGTTAATCATGAGAAGGCTATACGTGACAGTTTTCTCACCAAGCAATACACATGATCAGACTCAACAGCACATCAATACTTCTTTCTCCTTGCACTATGATCCTGGAAGCCAGCTGTTCTCGTAACTGCTTACTCAGCCGGCTTTGCTGAGTGACCGCCTTGGTGAGCACGGTGCGGATAGCATGACAGAGCAGTGGATATCTGACGTGAAGATCGTCTGTAGTGAGGTTCTCCGATAGGTACGCGAAGGGAAAGAGATGTAGGTAAGTCGTCCGAAAGTCGACTAATTGCTCAGGAGTCAGGCGGTCGTCATTGTCGGGGTTATATGATAGTCTCTGAGTAAAAACTGAGGACTCCGGCGTGAGTACGAGTTGATCATCGGGCGACATTGACACAGGCGCTGCATGCTGTGTACGAAGAAGCGAGACAACTTCATCAAGCTTGTCCTCCAATTTCGACCTCTTTGGGACTGGGGTTGGTTTTGATGCCTTCCTACGCGCTGGAGATGTGGATTTACATTCTTTCCCCAGTCGATGGCATCTATTGTTCTCAGTTTAGCTCAGATGTCCTATGAATGTGTTGCATGTCCTGCATCGTAGGTAGTCACACAGGTGGCGAGGTGTGCAGCAGCGAGGACTCCCGCACTATGTCCATCCTCGCCTGTCGTACACAATGCGCAGATGCATTTATGCGCCATGCGACAGTCGATTTGACGTGGGATGGTTGATGAGATAGGATCAATGACGCACCTGTCGCAGATGGAACTTCCGTCGTCGCGTATCATGCATCGGCATTTCGCTTTCACACAATTGCTACACGCTCTGCCATACGGAGCAGGAGTACTGCGCAACAAACCGGCTTCCATTATCGATTCCGGTCCATAGTACACGTACACGGACTAGGTACGAGGAACCTCAACATCATGGCGGTGTTGGTGCGCGAGCTTGTAAGACGGCGGGATGCGCTGCATGCGGATTTCGCCTGAATTCCGTTGGAGCGGAATTCGCAGTCACGGAAATTAGGCGGACCTACATCTCGTGTCACCTGCAGCCCCACACCTCTAACAAACAGCATACTCCTTTTCTGTACAACCAGTCGTGGGTAATTGAGGTATGCAAGAACAATTACCTAAAATGATCCTCATCGTTGCTCTTGTTCCAGCTATTGCCTTCCACACGCCACAGTGCCCTTCCCTTACGACCTTTACGGCTCCCTTGTACGGACAAGAGTGAGGTAAGAACACATACATCACATACCTGGGAAGATGCAGGTCGGCCTTGCTGGAAATCTAACAATAATCGTTCAAAAAGGGTATCTGTCCAAACTCCATATCTACTTTGCACTGCACATCAAACATAGCCTTGGCTACCGCGCCGTGGCCGTTACATCTTCACGTCCTCACCTTCTCCTTGCCCTTTCTTAGTCTTTCGAATTCCCGTATGAGTTCCATAGCGTTCAGGTCAGCCTCGAACTTTCTGCCGATCCATTCGGTTTCGACCAATTTCGCCGCCCTGATACGTTTCCTTGTTCCGCTCTTCGCCAGATACTTCATACTCTTGACGATGCCGTCTCCTGGGTACGCCACTATCCCTACGGCGGCTGCGCTCGTCTTCGTAACGAGGCCGGCCATTCCCTTACCAAATCCTTTGGCGTACCCGATCGCACCCTCCTTTTTGCCGCCCTCGTACGTCTGACGGAAGGGATCCGAGAAACCATCTGCTATGCCGTGAACGAAATTCTTTCCGCCCACCTGGAAACCGGAAAGAGCACCGGTAACCTCTCCATGGTCTTTGACCTCTTCTCCATACAGTCTCGGTACGTTGCGGAAGCCTTCCGTAGTGGCGAGGGGAAGATCAACGATGACGCCTTTGTAGAACGCACCGACGAATCTGCCAAAGCCTTTGGCGACCCCACCAGCCACGCGACCTGCAACAGCCGCACCGTTTGACTTTTCTGACGATGTCGAGGCGGCTGAAGAGGTGACAGAGTGTTTCGGCTCGGTGAAGGGATCCACGACCATGCCCTTCGCTGCCATACCCATATCTCCGACGATACCGACACACGCAGAAGTCGTGCTTGTTACAGGGTCCCAACGTTGATTAGTGATGATAAATGGGTCCGTTTCGTGGTTCTCAAGATCTGAGGAAACAATCACACCGTTCTCGATCAATACTTGCGCAGCCAGTTTGGAGAGGAGGATGGACTCCTTCTTTGTTTTCCAGGAAGCCACCTCCGTGGGTAAAAGAGCACATCGCATTGTTTCGAGAGGCAGGTTTGCATGGAAAGATTGCGCAGCAGCTTCGACACCACGTTCGCTCGCCATCTGCGAAGATAGAGCACGTGCTGCTTGCTTCGCTTCGCCCGTGAGACAGAAGTGGATGGCTGGTGTAAGGTTCTCGGCCGTCAGGAGTTTGTGGGGAATAGGCATCGGACCTGCTCCCGCTGCTGCTATCATCTCTCCCCAGAATGGTTGATCTCCAAAGAAGGGTACGACAACAGTAGGACACGCGTTGCGTAGCCCACAAGCAGCAGTACCTGCTCCGCCGTGATGAACGACCGCTGCAACGTGCTGGAATAACCATTCATGGGGACAATCACCGATGAACAGGACGTCCTTGTTGTCGTTTGGCAAATCGGCACCCAGGTTGCTCCATCCTCTCGAGATGATCGCTCGGATACCTAGGGCGCGTACAGTTTCTAGGATGCTTGACGTCATCTTCGCTGGATCGTCCAGGACGATACTTCCGAAGCCTATATATACCGGCGGAAGTCCATTGCGTAGGAATTGATCGATTTCCGCAGGCGGCGTGTACGGCGTTGGCTCACGAAAGAAGAAACCACAGACATCGATATGCGCTGCCCAATCCGCTGGCTTTGGAACCAATGCCGGAGACCAGCAATATGTGAAGGGCACTTTGAGCGTGGAAGCGAGTACAGGCCCAACCGATACAGGAACATCTTCCAGGTCCAGAGAATGGCGAAACCGATTGATGACGTCGCCAAGACCCTGCCATGTTAGGAATTCAACTACGCCGTAAGACGCGTAATTGATCAGCGCGGTTGAGATTTCGCCACCTTTGAAGTTTGCCAGCGGATGCGGAAAGGCTCGCGTACTGCTCCAGGGCATAGTAAACATAAGATGAAGTGGAATACCCAGCGCCTGAGCACAGTGTACATGCGCGAAACTGGGCGGGTTGGCGATGATTGCTTCTGCCACGAACGGCTGCCCAGTCTTCAGATCCGGCTCGACGCATGAGTGCCAGCAGCCGTAGAGCATTTCTGTAATCATGTCTCTTTTCTTCTGGATGTCGCCTTCTCGCAGACTCTTCATTGAAGGGATCAGACCTGGATTCTTCACCATGTATGCCACTGCTACATGTCAACAGGGTGAACCAGAAAATTTGCAGCATGCAGCTTCATTGACTTACTGAGCTCTTTTGGATCTCCACCGATGGGATAAAATTCTAGGTTTGACTCGTGCACAAAGCTTTCGAATGTGTTATGTGTCGCTATCCGCACGCGGTGTCCGTACCTTTGCAACTCTTGACCTAGAGCGATGAATGGTTGCACATCGCCTCGACTTCCAACAACTTGGATGACAATGTTTAAACGAATGCTCCATAACCTGTTGACGGTATATCGGCGACTGAGTTCTGGTTCTTCTTTTTCTTGCTTCGGCACGAGTTTGACGAGTGTCTTGGTGAGTCGTGAGTTGAGGTCAATGTCGATGCGACCATCGTCTGCATAATATCAGCACCTGCTCACGACTGTGGGCAGTGAGAATCTGTAAACGTACTTGTTACACCGGTGTCCCCTGGCTGTGGTATTGAGCCGGTCAGCTCTTCCGCAGTATATGGTGGTGGTGCATCCGTGTGGTGTACTTCATAGTCGTGTTCGTATTGCACAGGCATCGGTGCTTGGGTACTGTCCGGTCGCGCTCGCATACGATGTACGCCATTGCCTTGTTCAAACTCCACTGGTATCGGTGCTTGGGTACTATCTGGTCGAGGTCTCATCATGAGAGATTTTTGAAAGATCTTAGAATGGTGTTTGTGGCTCAGTCAGCTGTGGCAGCAGTTGGCGACCTTTATTACCTTGATCATCACGGTCTTACGGTTGGGATACGCCGATACGATATACGTAGTTTCGGCTAGTGTGATTTACGGATCTTCCCGCGAATCTAGCCTGATCGATAGCTTTAGCGCTTATAATGCGTCACTAAACGGCCCGAGATTGGAATAGAACATGAACAGAGAAGATTGAGAGAAACTACATGCGTATCTCGTACACAAGCATTGGGAAGCTGTCTAAGCTGGAGCTTGTGTATGCGAAACGATGTTTGCACCGCCACGATTCGACTCTTAGCCTCCCGAGGTTTATTTACACAATCGCTTACTATCCTAGCATGATGCTCTTCTCGGCTGCGACACCCGTTAGTGGCTTCCCATCTCGACTCGATGACGCTTTAGCTCGTCATTCACAGCTGCCAGGTTGCGCAAACATGGGTCCGATGGCTTACTCTTGAGACGCGGACCTATGCAATCGCACACGAA